TGTTTATAATTATGTTCTGACCACTTTTGTTCTGGTTGCATTGTCCATACTGTTCTGTTCTCAGAAAGCAGACACTTATATGCTCTGACCACTTCTGTTCTGGCTTCATTGTTCATTGTTCATTGTCCATATGTTCTGGCTTCATTGTCCATACCCAATCTTTTTACTGAGCTAGATCACCATATTTTTGACTCACCAGTTGGTGAAAATCATGTTATATTTCAGTTGACCAAGAGCATCATCAAGAGTTACTGTGAGGTTAAATTTTACCATCTTGGAAAAAAGACCACTGAGAATTCATCTGGACAAAAAATTAGAAAGAAATTAAATAAACTTGTACCTTTTAAGCACCAGTGTGAGTAATTACACAGAATGTATCAGAGAAAGCTAAATATTACTAAAATTTACTATGAAACTGCCCAAGCTGAAAGTGCAGACTCTGTCTCAAACATAATTTTACTAAAGATTTATAGTGATAACTGCCCAAGCTGAAAGTGCAAACTCTGTCTCAAACGTTTCACTAAAGATTTATAGTGAAAACTACCCAAGCTGAAAGTGCAGACTCAGACTGTCTCAAACATTTCACTAAAGATTTACAGTGAAAACTGCCCAAACTGAAAGTGCAGACTCTGTTTTTACAGTATAAACTGCCTACGCCGATAGTCGAAACGTTACTTACCAACTTCCATTTCCATAAAGTGGTGCCAGAAACCGTAAGTACATGTACTGATTAGACGATACTTCACCAGAGAATCACTCACAGATTCAAAACAAGTATATAAAGCCAATGTCGTAATTCGAAATTTTTAGCTTTAAAATGCGATTCAAAGACAACAACATCGCCAATTAATGTTTTTTCTTGTACCCTTTTCCAAAAAAGCTGCGATTTCAAGGCGAACGTACCTCAAAAAGGTATTTTTAATCCAGAAATGCAAAAAAGCCTCGAAAAGTATAGTATTTTCTATAGCATTTCATTGATGAGTGGGAACGACCAATATGGCCGCCGCCTATTTTCATGGGGGAAACCGCTGAGATTTTTGGCTTCAGTTTTGTATTCCGAGATGCGCTATCTAGTGTATATGAGATATCTATGCTCTGAATCGAGTCCATGTTTTACTAATCGAGTCCATGTTTTACTAATCAAGTCCATGTTTTACTAATCGAGTCCATGTTTTACTAATAAAGTCCATGTTTTACTAATCGAGTCCATGTTTTACTAATCGAGTCCATGTTTTACTAATCGAGTCCATGTTTTACTAATAAAGTCCATGTTTTACTAATCGAGTCCATGTTTTACTAATCGAGTCCATGTTTTACTAATCGAGTCCATGTTTTACTAATGTCCATGTTTTACTAATCGAGTCCATGTTTTACTAATCGAGTCCATGTTTTACTAATCGAGTCCATGTTTTACTAATCGAGTCCATGTTTTACTAATAGAGTCCATGTTTTACTAATCGGGTCCAGTCCATGTTTTACTAATGAGTCCAGTCCATGTTTTACTACATGCCTCAATACTGCACACTTTCGCATTCAATACTGCACACTTTTTATCCAATACTACTGCACCAAGTGTGCAATACTGCACACCTCTGACTGACTGCACACTAAAATAGGCCCTGCAGAAGGCTACTATTTAAACATGCACGAGCAGGAGTGCTTTTGATACGCTGTTTAGAGACCACGTAATTGTATAAATATCTCCGTGTTTGGAAAGCATATGGAAACTTCATCACTTGGCGCGTGTTTTGACTGATAATTCGTTCATAACCTAGCGAAATACATACGTAATTTTCTTTTTCTCATATTATTTCAGCTGCTAGCGCTCGATTCCGTTTGAGCAAATTTGCACTCAATAGGGCAACCGTTTGATATGTCGCCGAGCTTCGAAAATATTTAGTTTGCTTTGTAAAGCACGGCATGCAAACAAACTAATTTTGAGACAGACTGCACTTATTTTGAGACTGACCGGATCATTTCTCTGGGGAATGACCCCCCCGCCCACACACATTTACGCCCCCGGATAAACACAATTGCGTGTTTTAAATGGCTTAAAAAACACCCATCGTATGCGTTCATTGCCATTGCAATTTGGCGACGTAATTTTAAAAATAAACCGAGAAAATCAAAGCTAAAGTTTGTGTAACCATTCCCCAATTAACCAAAATTTTGAACTCAACAAGTCTAGACAAAAATTTCATCACAGCTTGAAAGAGCATCACAAAATTAGTAATGTTCCAAAGTTTCGTTGCAAAATGTTGTAAAATGCGGATAATATAGCCTTGCGAAGTTTCCAATTTTCAGTCATTTTAGATTACAAACGGGAAATGGTTACCACTTCTGTGCGTAATCTAAAATGACTGAAAATTGCAAATTTCGCAAGGCTATATTATCCGCATTTTACAACATTTCGCAACGAAACTTTGGAATATTACTAATTTTGTGATGCTCTTTCATACTATGATGGAATTTTGTCTAGACTTGTTGAGATCAAAATTTTGGTTAATTGGGGAATGGTCCATTAACATGATTTTTTATCACATATGAAACCACCGACGTGGTAGTGATTTCCTTTCTCTTTTCCTTATGAATTATTAATGATTTTAATATTTAAACTAGAAAAACCGAAAGATATTCCAGAGGTTCTTGTGCCGCCGTATTATAATTTACGTAATTTGTACGAAGGAACGAACGAGCGAGAATAGGGCGGAAGATATAAGAACCTCTGGCAACCATGAGGGTAACAGAAATAGCGAAGATAAAAACATGAACAGAATATAATTTTTTGGAAGAAATTAAACTGAACTAAAACAAGCTCAATTTATAGATGTGAATCAACAAGCAGTCAAGCACTTGACTTGGTGGTGGCTTATCTAAAAAGCCTAAAATATTCGTGGAGTTTGCAATGTTTGAAGTGTTATTTAAAGAAAGTGGTTTATCAGGTTAGGGCAAGATGTGTGGATCGCTAAACTGTCAAAATATTGCAATACAATCAGTGGCGGAAACTTTGCGAATTTTTTTTTTTTTTTTTTTTTGGGGGGGGGGGGGG